AAGGTTAAAAGAATGGACTTTCAAGTAAAACTACTTGAGTTCAGATCCTCCCTCTGTAACTTAGCTGTGTGAACTAAACTCTGTGCCTCAGCATTTCTACCTGTAAAACAGAGATGACAGTGTGCCCTCAATGGAGTTGTAAGGATTAAATCAGTTACTAAGTGTTACACATTTATAGTGCCTGGCATGTAGCATTTGTTTCATACGGGCTAGCTATTTTCAGTGACACATGCCCTTAAATCTCTTCTGTTGATTAAGCAAGGTTGATTTGGCCTTTCTTTTCACCGCAAATGTTGGAGTGTTAACCAGTATACTTAATAAAAAGTAGTTCATGCAAGTATTTTGCTTCTTTTGAATGGAGGGGATTAGGTATGGAAATTAGCTCAAAGGCCATTCAACCACTGAGGGCAAACTTTCTATGGCTCCCCATTTCCTAAATTAGGACAAAGACCCAAATCCTTATTGTAGCATTTAGAATCCTCAAAGAACTACTCCTAATTCATGTTCACTCATCAGCAGGATGCAGTATTTTTCCTGAATTCATGTTATGATATTTTAACACAGATCTGGCCCCTACATAACTACTTCCTACCTCTGTGCCTTGGAGTGAATTTGTGCACTGGTGAACCCCTGAAGTCTGGGTCACCACAGACATCTCCTTAATAAATGCTAGGGACTAGATAGAATACATTAACTGTACTATCCCACTCAGACAAATCTTTATTTTGTAGATTCAGGACTAAAACACAGTGCCTCAACGTCACATAGAGAACCAGTCACATAACAATAACAAATTCAAATGGCTACCTCTAGATAAGAGGCAAGATCAGCTCTCTCTCTCTCTCCATATAATCCAATTACAGTGAAGAGACTTAAAAAATGATGTTGGTCTTAGGTATTTGAATTGAAGGACCTGACATATTTCAATGGCATCTTTCTTTTTAATTCATGCCTATATTCTCCTCTATCAGGTAAATATGCTTTTTCTACCAGAATGGCACTTTATATTGAATGCTTTTACGGAGACACAAACTTTTAGAACAAGAAGTAGCCTTTTAGATCTTCTACGAGAGTGTTTTCCCAAGTCTGTTCCATAGCACACCAGCAACGTTGGACTTTTAATAGAATTTATTTTTTTTTTAAGTGGATCTCTTTGGGAATGTTTGATCAGTGATGAATTATATAGTTTTCTTGCTCAAAGGACATCCTAGAAACTTCGACACCAGTGACCTACCATTACTCTCAAGGCAAAGAACATAGAATGAAATTTAGGTTTCTTCTTAAACTCATTTGATCATAGAGCCAAATTTTCATGAGGTATCTCTAAGGATATTTGATTCAGAGTAACATTTATTTTATTTTAAAAATGTAAAAACAGGGGCGCCTGGGTGGCGCAGTCGGTTAAGCGTCCGACTTCAGCCAGGTCACGATCTCGCGGTCCGGGAGTTCGAGCCCCGCGTCGGGCTCTGGGCTGATGGCTCAGAGCCTGGAGCCTGTTTCCGATTCTGTGTCTCCCTCTCTCTCTGCCCCTCCCCCGTTCATGCTCTGTCTCTCTCTGTCCCAAAAATAAATAAACGTTGGAAAAAAAAAAAAAAAAGAAAAATGTAAAAACAAAACAAAACAAAACAAAAAACCCAAAACAACAAATAAACAAAAAACAGAGAAAGAAACTGATAAGCCAGTCCATGGTTCCACAGCAAGTTAGTGACCTATGTAGGTCTGGAATCCAGGCCTCCTTCTGTGAATCAAACAGTCTCTGCACCGCCCATGCCCTGGGTGCCATCGATCTCCCACCACACAGACAACGAGATCTATACTGATAATAATATTACCTTGCTTTTATAGAGTATCTGTCCTCCAAAGTGCTTGAAGCACTTTCATATGTATTGCCTCGTTTATCTCACTTGAGGGGCTCAGAATGAGCTCCAAGTAAGTTAAGGGAAGGAAACCTTCACTGTGTCTCCTGGTCTAGGGCTTTCATGCTTTTAATAGCAGCAGCAACATTAAAGTCTCCCCATCCCCCTCTCTGGTCATCATTACCATTATATTATTATTTTTATTATTAACTTTTTTTAAACACAGTTCAGGGTAACCATAGTCTTTCAAGAGCTGATACAAAGGCAGTGGATGATTACAGAAAATTTGACATCAAAGTGCTGGTTTGTCTTGATTCCTTTGTTGCGCATGAAGCTTTGTTCCTTTCCAGCCAAGGCAGCCCTGGCTTTGATAGAAGGCCACGAAATACATGTGCCTTTCCCACAAATCACTCCACCCAAGGTGGGGCTTCTCTTTGAAGGTGTAATGGGTTGTAATGAGGCATCTCATTGCCTTAAGTAAACATCTCCTTGGACTACATAATACATTCATTTGCTGTACTGACTCCTATTTTTCCAGGGAAAAGCTAAATTAATCCTTGCATTCTACCCTCCTATCTCACATCAAGCTAGTAATGGAGCGTGCTCATCTGGGATAGCAAGGGGAGGGGACAGACAGCAGATTCAGGTTCAAAGTACAACTGGCTAGATGTCACTGGGGGCAACTGTCAACAGCAATCTATGTGATGGCCATGAAGAAGCAATGCAAAGTACGTGTTTTTCCTAACACTCCAGTGCCAGGTCTGATGCTCCTTTGGTTTTAAACTACCATTTCTGGGGCTCCTTGGTCCATGGTTTTTTCTTTTGATGGCCCTCCAGTATATCAAAATTTGTGGGGGATCTGCTATCTTATAATAGTAAACTATTCAATTATTTCAAGAGAAGAAAAGTATAAAGGATGCTAGTTTGGGAGCTCAGGGGAGTTCAGTGCTGGCCTCAGTCCTGCTATAGACAGCATTTGGTTTGGCCCAGGGTTATTCCACTCAAAGAGTATATTCCCAGGAGCTAGAACAAGATGATTGACTCACATCTGGTGCTCCTGATTTGGTCTCAATTCCCACATGCCTCTTGAGCAAGGGCATCTCCCTGCATTGACTTTAACTCTTGTTTTTAAAGGTGTAAATCTTGCAAGCTAACTACTGCATTTGCTGATCAATCAAAGAAATAGCAATTTATTTCAGCACTTGAAGGGGGAAAAAACCCAAAACGGCTCTGTTGGACTTACTGAGGAGGCATGATCATATCCCTCCTGGGCCTTCCCAAAAGATTATCCAAGGTACTTTTAACAGCACTCAGATTTAGTTTTACATATGGACTCTCCCCATGTCTCATCCAAGGCACAACTCCAAAGTTGTAGCTTGTCCTTTTGTAAAACACGTTAAACCGAATCAAGAGCAAGGAGCAGTTCAATGTATACAAGCACAGAAATAGTTCTGGGCAATTACCACTGTCATTAATTTCTTAGCTGCTGGAAATAATAGTAAATACTAACATGGCTATTGTTCATGGAGTCAACAGGGAGATTTAATGTGTGTTACTATCCCAGATGTGTTGATGTCTCAGCCCACCTTACTCCTGTTAGGCTTAGAGCCAAAATGATGGCCCAGAAGGAGAATTCTGCCTGGAGAAGCCAGAGCAACTGCTACCATTTACTTTCCTGGAAGAAGAGATCTGCAATGACCTTGTGCTGTGTCTATCACACGATTCCCTGGCAGCTAGCTGGTGTTGGGCCACAATAGCACACTACAAAGTCATGGACAAAAACACAAGATAAAGAGTCATGAAAACTCAGTCGAAAAAAGTTCTCTATGTTCTTTGCCCAACCCAAAGGTTTCAAAACTGAGCTACAACTATATTTAAACCTACGCTTCCCCCTTCCTACGGTCATACATACCTCCCTTGCTCTAAGATCAAGGCACAATGCATTAGTTACTTCAGACCACAAATCCACAGCTTGGAGCGCCCAAGTCAGTTTGACCTCCACTAGGTGGCGCTCCATATCAACACAGTTCTTCAGTGTTTCTGGAAAGAGCCCAGGGAATGTCAGCAGTTGAGGGTCTTTAACTTCTGTCTGTCATTATTTCCAAAGGAGTAATGTCTTTGGGAAAGTCCAAAAAATTTAGCTGTGCCTCAGAACTCTAAAGACAGCCAGTATCGTAAGTTCTATTGAGAGAGAAAGCAAAGGTTGGATGCCGTATAGATGTACCCCCTCTCAAAAATTAATCACAATAGAATGGGATAGAAATGCGTCACCCCCGTCGTACTGACATAATATCCAAAGCATGTTTTCTGTTTTGCTAGAATACCAGTACATATTTCTTGAAAAGTAAAAGCAAATCAGTTGACAATTTATTTAGATGCTCCTATAACAAGAATTCCAGAGAGAGAGAGACAGAGAGAGAGACAGAGAGAGAGAGAGAGAAAGAGAGAGAGAACGTGAAAAGCAGTCATGAGGGATGAGAAGAGATAAATGAATACGAAAGACTGAAAGGGTCCTTGGGAAAGGGGTGAGGTCAAGAATATGTGAATTGAAGAAAATACTAAAATGAAGAAATCCATTCAGCTCATACCTTGGGCAAAGCATACTTGGGCAGCTTCATTTGGGCAAACGCATTCCTTCGGTAGGACACGTAATAATGCGGCCGTCCTCCTGATGTCAGCTGGATCATAAACACAAGAGTTGTAAGAAGAGCTCCTATAATAGTTCCAGGCCCTCGAACAACAGCCATGAATGGAAGGGGGTAGCTGCCAACCCAACAGTGTGAATGACTATGGTGGACAAGTGTGAAGAACTAGAGCTCCATTCAAAAACGACTCACACAGTGTATGTGAACTGGTCTGAGGCCCAACCTAGCCCACTGGGTGAACATAAAATTCTTGGATTTGCCCTGTAGCTCAGAAACAAGGAAACATTTTCATTTCCTTTTTATTTTTCTTCTCTTTTGTGTTTCTAATGAGAGAAGCCTTAGGGTATATTGGCTTAATGTCCATCAGCCGTCCCCAGCTATCCAGCCCAAGACTATGACCACGCAAACAGGTCCCCATGCCATATCAGAAGGAAACAGCCCGGGTGAAACAGCGGCAGAGCTGGAGCCTCTCATCTCTGAGCGCTGAGTTCCGTTTGATGCTGTACCATAGATGAATGCAAGTATGTCTCACATACAGCCGCGCTGCTGACACATTAGACGGAAAACCAGCCAGGATCATAGCCCCAAATCACTATAGATCTCTATCTTCCAGAAGAGAACTCTGAGCTACCTCCTCCAAGTCTGTCCAGCACATACAGCCCAGTGAACCCTGTGGGTGCGAGGGAGGGCAAGAAGGGGTGCGGTCTCCACCCCAGCACGAGCACTGTTTCGTGGAGTGGCAATGGCTCTACTGTCAGTCTCCCTCTCCTTTGTAGCCACTGTTTTTTTTTTTTTTTTCCCAGTTTGGTTGAGATATTCACATATAAGATAGGTAACTTTAAAGTGTACAATGTGATGATTTGATAAATGCATATACTGCAAAATGATGATCATAATAAGGTTAGTTGACACCTCTATCCCCTCATTTAATTATGATATTTTGTGTGTACTGAAATCATTTAAAATCTACTGTCTTCATAACTGTCGAGTATATAATACAATATTGGTAATTATAGTCACTATGCTATACATTAGATCCTCAGAACTTATTCATCTAATAGCTGGAAATTTGTACCCTTTGACCAACGTCTCCCCACCTCCCAACCCATAGCAAGGACCATCTAGTCTGTATTTCTATGAGTTGGTGGAGTCACTCTTAATCCATATAAATATCTGGAGCTGGAAAATCAGTTGGAGTTTGCATACTCAGATTGTGTCAACAAATGCTGTGGGTGAAGGTCCATCAGACACGTACGAGAGTGACTGGCAAATTATCTTGTCCACCATGATTGGGCCAGATCACCTCCTAATTCTAGGGATGGGTTATGTTCACAGTGTTCACAGGATCATGTTCACAATGGTATGGGTAGAAAATACATAACATTTTAAAGGCAGAATTGATTCTCATTGGTTAGTCATATATGTGGATTACAAATCATTATTAGAAAACAGAAAAGGTTCCTGGCAGAAACAGTGATTGAGAAATGAATTATAGATACAACCAATACGTGTAACCATTTTAATGTCACTTGATAATTTGATGCTGAAGTTATCAGAGTACTCATTATTCATTTCCCCAACAAAGAAATGAAGTGTATGTGTATGTATAATCATTTGCAAAACATTTTAAGAGTACATAGGTTGATTTTGTGCATTTTGAACATTTGCTTCCTTAAAACATGGGATTGAATATTCTGAATTATGATTTCTTGTCCAAATAAATATATTAGTGTTAAGAATGTGTCTCAATCATAGTGAAATTGTGTGTGTGTGTATGTATATATATATATAATGTGTGTAAAAATGAATATATGTAATAAATATATGTCAATATATTTAATGTATACACACACCCCCACACACCCCCACACAGAACTATTCAGCAATTGTACCTTTGTCACTCTTACCATGGGAAGCAATAAGTGAAGTCTGTCTAAACTTACCTAACAACTAAGTAAATCACTGTTCAAACAAACCTAAAACTTTCCTGAAATGCTGAAAAGCAGCAAAGCATACTTGCTCCCTGTCTCTTCTAACCACTTTACCTCAAAAGGTTTCCCACTCTCTTTAGGAGAGAAAAACCCGACTGCATACATCTTCACTTCTCATCCTAATCATAGTCAGAGCATGACAATAATGGCTGATTACTCTCCACCTCGCCTCTGCCTCCCACTACCTCCAGTCACCCCGCAGCTTCCTGTTGCCATCTGTTTCTCTATTTTTAAGGTAAGTATTGAGGAACAGGCTGATTGGCTGACTCTTCTGATAGGAAGAGAGTGACATATCCACTCAGTCTCACTGAAGGCAGAGGAAGGGTGAACAAAAGTGCGCATCATTCTGGAGACAACCTTCATACTCTAAGCGGTGCCTCCGTGACCACGTGTTGATAAGGTCCTCCAGACGCTGCTCAAAGGAGCTAATTAATATTCCGTGAGCATAGAAGCTTCGACACTTGGCAATGTTCCTTTTGTCAAGAAGATAATGATTTTATTTTTCTTCCTTTTTTTACCCTCAAGGGAGTGTAAGCAGGCAAAGGAGGCTGCATTAGGGACGGAAGCAGGGAAGAGAACTGTCTGAGACAATCAACAGAAGTGGATCTTTCATACCTGAACAAACACATAATCATCCTGGACAATCAAAGAGTCTGGGTCAATGTAGCCTGGGAAGGGTTTATTCCTGTTGGCCTCTGTGCAGTTCTGCATTCGGCAAGTTAGGTACTGTGAATCTGAAAGAAAAAAAAAAAAAGGTCGGGGGAAGGTATACACACTGAGTATCACACTCAGAGTCGACCTTTTTTCTTTCCCTTGCTATCTCCAATTCTTGAAACAAATCTCACATTCTTTAGCTGCATTATTTTTACCATTATTATCGTTCAAAGTGGTATCATTATTATTTTACTCATTCTTTTTTTGAGAGAGCACAAATGGCAGAGAGGGGCAGGGGGAGAGAGAATCTTAAGATCTTAAGCAGGCCTACGCTCAGCGTAGAACCTGACACAGGGTTTGATCCCACCCCCTGGGATCATGACCTGAGCCGAAATCAAGGGTCGGACACTCAACCGACTGAGCCATCCAGGCACCCCATTATTTTACTCACTTTCTGTCAACACCATCACCAGCATGCCCCCTCACCTCCACCAAACCTTGCCATCCTGGAATACTAAATCCTCATTAATTAATTTTCCTCTCCCAAACCTAAATGAAAATATTTTTAAAAACTGGCAATAATATTTACTATTTCCTAATTATTTTTTTGCATTTGTAGGCTCTTCCTCCACACTCTGACCTTTGACCAACAAGCAGGGAAACATGGATATAACATGCATTTACCAGCCATCTCATGCAAGAAGTTATAAACATTGTTATAAGCAGTAAAATTCCATGTCAAGACAAACGCCTTTCTTCTAATAATTTTAAGTGAAATAGAATAGAGAGGAGTTTCCTTGGATCCAATAATTCGCTCTTGGGTCAATTGCTCCTTGGGTCAATAATTCTACAGATGAGAAAACCAAGACCCTGAATCTTACCTGAGACTTGACAGCAGATGGTAAACCTATCAGTTAAATTAACTCTTCTATACATTTGCTATCTATGGCTGGAAGTGCAATGTATCAGGGTGGCTGCCTTGGTTTTTCAACCACAGCTATTCTGCTCTCTCTACTAATCAGACGTCATTTCATACTTAAAACTCCCTTTGCCTCCTTGCATTTAAAATAAATTCAAATCTTCTACCACCCACCACTCCAATGTCCCCACATGTTAATCTCTTCTTCTCTCTGTGAGTCTTCTAATCTGGCTTCCTTTACATGCAGAAGTTTGGCTAAACTTTCTACTACTTACGAGACTTTTCGCTTGTATTCCCTCTGCCTAAAATGCTTTTCCCCTGGTTGTTCGCAAAGAAAGTTCTAGATTTCAGTCTACTCTTATTTCTGAGGGTCTTGCATGATTACTCTGGATCACACACCATTTTGTTAATTCCCCCCCATGGAAGTCATTTCTGTCTGTCTCTATTAGAATATAAGCTACTTGAAGAGAGTGACTCCTATTACTTGTTGTTCACTGATGTACCCTCAGGTTCTAATACTGTTCCAGGGACATATTGGCCAATGAGTAAATATTCACTTGAATGTGCCTTTTTATTGTAATATATCTTTTTCAATGAAGAAGAAAGTCATTTTACCTTTTTTTTTTTCCTTGATGCTTAATAAATGGATGTTTGATTTTAGGATATCAGGGATGTATAAAGAAATCCACTATTCCAAATTAAAACAAAATAAGATGAAGATTTACATGAAATGGGGGTAGGCAATAGTATAGCATTGGATGCAAGGATTCACTAATGACTTCTCTCAAGGACATTTCCAGGACCATCTTTACCTATGGAAATTGGGTAAAATCTGTATTCTACAAGGAGGACCACAAGGGGGCGGCATGCATATTTGCTCCATCTGACCAAGGACATGTAATTGCTGATAAGCTCTTATGAGACTGGAGATGAACTTTATTCACAATATTCCTTCATGCCTCTGCCGTCTGTGGGGATGGGATGGCTCTGAAGTACTTTAAGCCATCTGGTTGTAGTGAAACTATCTCTGTAGATGAACTAAAGAAGGGCCATCTACTCACTCTTAGTTACCACCTTCTTCAAACATTCTTTATCATTCCATCTTAGGGCATAACTCAAGGTCTTTCTTCTTGAAGACAATTTCTGGGAGTCAGTCCTTCCCAGAATCGTCCCCTTTCCCACCATAGCACACAAAATCTTCACCTCACAGTTTCACACTCCACCAGATTCTTTCACATCTTTTAAACGACTTTTATTTTTCCAAAGGTAGCTTGGGGTCACAGCAATGGACACTGGTAACTATGAGACCGGGGCTTGAGTTCTTATCTGGTCACTTACTAGCTACATAGTTCAAAAGAAATTTCAATCTCCTGAGCCTTGCCACCCTCATCCATTAAATGTGAATGCCAATGTCAACTCTCTTGAATTTTGGCTCTAAGGATTAACTATAATAGCATATATGCTGAATGTTTTAAAACTCAAATGTGTACAGATACGAGCTGTTATCAATAATGATAACATTCCTATTTTCTCTTTTGCTACCTTTCACAATAATTGGATCAGTTTGGGGGCCTTTTAAAGGCTAGTTAAACTGAATTTGAGTACTCCAGTTATGTTTCTGTATCAGCTATGTTTCTTTTGGTGACCTGCCTGATACCCATTCCTCCCGGCCTCTTTGATGGAAAAGCCAATACTGGATCGGTTGACTTATCCTTCCTCCTGCATGACTGAGAAGTGCCCATATGCAAGGATTAATCCTCTTGGGTCTATGCCCGCAGAAGGTCTTCTGACTCCCCTTGCCATTGGCTGGTTCAGAAAAGAGCATTAAAACTGAGTTCTAGTAAATGAGAAGAGAGGGCAGTCTTATAAGGGGCTGCAGGGGAGAGACCAGGAAATACAGCAGAAGACCCTGTTCTGCCTCTCTAGAATAATGTGATGCTGAGAACTGCTCTAGCCTTCTTTTTACATAGAGGAGCCAGTAAGCTTACAGTTAAGCTTACCTAATGAGTATGCAAAGAGATGAAAAGGACCTATTTCCTGATGACACTGAGTTACTGATTATACTGAACTTACAGCTGCTCTTTTTCTGCACTTCTTATGTGAGATAATGAACAAAAACAATGACTAACCAAACTAAATCAAAGATTCCTGATTAGGAGGTCTTGGCCTTCAAATTACAAATACAACTTCCAATCAGAATTTCTTGGACTGTCACCTGATGAGAACTTTTGATAAATACACAGTGCTTGTTTTCTTTGTATGGGGTCTCAGAGTTTAAAGCTTTCTTAAGACTTGAACCTCCTCTTCAAAGGTTCCTGAACAAGTATAAGACGGAAAATATAAAGATACATTTCTCATATTTATAACTCAGCTATTGAGAAACTATGAAGCTGAGGGATTTGGGAAGAAAATAAAAGAGCAGGGAAACTAACAATTGTTGAATACCAATATGCCAGGTTCACATTTATTTCATACATTTAATCTTGATAATACTACAAAGTATAATATATCGACTATTTTTTTAGATAAAGAGAATGAAGCTCAAGAATACGTAATGTTTTACAGAAATAGCATTATGGGTTTCAAACTCGGTTGGCTCCAAAGCTGGTTTATTTCCACTACTCTGTATTGTGTGAAGAATGCTGGTAAGTTTGGGGCCAACTTCTGTTAATTATATTTCGTCTTTGATCTAAGTAGCAATGCATACACCCAGATACAAAAAGAAAGACAAGTAAATTTATATTTTGTGTGGAGTAATTTGGCAATAGGATCAAGATCCTTGAAAATACTCTCTTTGACCTCACATTTATTTCTGAGAATTCTAACCAAGGGAATAAGTAATGATCTATGCAAAGATTTAGGTACTTCAATTTTCATCAGTGTTGTTTATAACAAAACTAAATAGAAAAATGGTCAAACATAGAGGAATAACTTTTTAAAACCTCAGAACATGCATAGTTTGTTATTAAAATCCTGATTCTAAAGAGTATATGAAGATTTACGGAAGTGGTTAATGCATCTCATATAATAAAAATAGATTTCTAATTAATAATTTGTATCAATGCTTTAATTTCTTAGTTTTAAAAAACAGACCTCGGTTATTTAAGAAGTTAACATCGGGGAGAGCTAGGTAAAGCTGTACTATCTTGGTAACTTTTCTGTTTACCTAAAACTATTCCAAAATAAGTAGGTTACCAAAATATGTGCATATCAACCCGATTTTCTGCAAGTTGTATATATAGATATCTACATATGTATGCTTACACTGGAAAAATGAATAAAAGATATACATGAGATGTCAACAATAGTATACAGGTAGTGATATGAGAGGAGACAACTGTGTGCAAAGCCCTGGAAAGCATGTCTCAGCCAGGAGGTGGAGGGGGCGTGTGAGATCTGTCCCACAAAAATCAGAGAAGCTTCTCTAATTCCTCTGCTTCTCCCACTCCCCATGACACATACTGAGGCAGAGCACCAGGAACAATATGTGTAATGAGCCCATCTTTGGACTAAGAAATACCAAAGGTTCCATTGGGCGACACAAGCAAAGTCCCAGGGAAGAGGCTTTGAAACCACTGCTTGCTTAGAGAGGCTCAAAGTGAAATTTGCAAGCTGAAGGGGAAATGAACAATTTTGAGCTGCCTGCCCCTGGTAAAGGGCTCCTGGTTTGTTCTCTTTCTCCTCCTAATGGAAACAGAGAGAAATTGGCTGCACTTCATAATGAGGGACCAATCACTCTTATTCCCCTTGGGGCTTACTATAATAGCATTAAGTATGATGAACTCTTTCCATATTCAATTCTAGTCAGTGTATGATGCGATTCCGTAGGAAGTATCTTGTAATTTGGCATTAATTAACGTCAATTAATGCATGCAACTGCTAGACTTTAGAATTAATTTCATTACTTTTCCCACACAGATGTTTTCCTTGCCATAGGTAATTAGGGCCCTGTGCTGCTCTTCTCAGGCATCCTCACTCTGTATAACAGCTGCCGCTTGGCATAATGCAATTCCCACCCCTGCAGAATCTGTGATGTAGACAAAGGCTGCCTTTCGAAGGCCAGGCTTTGAGCAGAGGAACAGGGCTTTAAATGCAGGTTCAAGGCCTGCTAGCTTTGTAAACATAAGCAACCACTTCACCTCTCTGCACGCTGATCTGTAA